TAGGAAGTAATTTGGATCTGATTGGTAAAAGAAATTACAAGATTATTCCTATATTATGGGGTTTTTGTTACTATATTACATGATGGGAGTTTGTAGTTTTGCTGTCTGTAATGATTGGTGAGAAGATCTGATTTATTTATCAATGAAACTGTCTCAATTCTTTATCATATCTCTATGATGTCATTTTGATTTTATATTGAGTGCTGTTTTACTGCCCAGGAGGACGAGGAATGGAAAGAGTTTGAGCAGAAAGAAGTAGACTACACTGGGCTTCGGCTCCAGGCTTTACAGATCAGGTGAGAACAAAGCAAAATGTTTTCAGCTGCTGTTAGCTTTGGATGAATCCTTTTTTCTTTAGAACTTAATTCAGGTAGTTGTTAAAAATGCTTATTAAGAAATAGGACACTCCTGGAGAGTAAATTCACATTGATGAACCCCTGGGTCACTTTTAACATTGAACATGCTTGCTGTCTTTTCATGCCTTCCTATTTACATTTAGTACCTGAGACAAACAGCTTTTTTCTCTTGGACTTAAATCCTACACAACATTGTATATTTTGATATAAATACACTTAAAAATCGCTCAAATTTCACATTATTTAACTGAATATGTCATTAATTTTTAGTTGGATTTCATTTGAGATGTGACAATATCTATGAAAGGTTAGATTATGACCTCTGATCAAAACACATTTTAAAACAGACTTCTTCAAGATCCAGTGACATAGAATATGTGTTTATTACTAAACTTCCCACATTAACTGCATTTAATGATATTCAAAAATCAATGGATACTCTAATGGAACTAACAAAGAAGGAAATAGGGGGTGGGAGAAACAGCAATTGTTACAATAAATCAAAATTCCTATCAAAATTGGACATTTTTCACAGTAACAATAAACTATGTAGATCTGTGAACATAAACATTTCCAACAAAGCCTAAATATATCTGTTTATTTTGATGATTGCACCCAGCCATCAAGTGAGAGACCTTGTGAATGGTAGTCTGAATAACAACTTTCTAGTTTATTGCTTTGTTACTAAATACTCTGGAGTAGGTTGCTTTTTATGGCCCACTATTTAATAACCTGTTAAACAACTGTTGAAATTGTGATTGTTTGCAGTGACGAAAAAGAGGAAGAGGAGTATGAGAAGGAGGAGGTAGGAGAGGATGGAGAGATCATTCTGGTCAGCGGAGATAAAGTGTCCGGTCCCTGGAACAAATCTGGCGGTGCTCCTCCTCCTGCTGCCTCACCTGTGGGTGAGTAAGCTGCTCTCTGTGTAACCAGCAATAAAAGTACATTGACTGCATTTAGGATTTGTCCAATCTAAGATTTTATTACTTTTTTGTTGAATCATACTAAAAGAAATTTTTTTTTTCCCCTGTTGGTGCAGAGGAAGAGGAGGCCCCTGAAGCGAAGCCTGCAGGAGTCTATCGTCCTCCAGGCGCCCGACTGACCCCCAGCAGAAGAGCCCAGAACCAAGGTCCGCCTGAGATCTTCAGCGACACACAGTTCCCCTCACTGCTGTCCACCGCTAAGCACGTCGAGACTCGCAAGTAAGCAGAGCAATAAGGCTGGAACAATTGATCAGACTAATCGTGATAATTGAAATATTCTCTTCTAGTTCAGTAATCAATGAATCGTTAACTGTTGACTAACAAAAGGCCATTTGCTGAAAAAAAAAATGTTTTGCCCAAAACTTGTCAAGTATGAGTTTTAACTTTACCTGAATCAAGTCCACTAAAGGAAAGCTACATTGCTTCATTTTAGGCAATAAATGTTTATGTTCTTGTTTATTAGTATTTGTTTTTCTTATTTAAAAAGGAAAGTGTTTGCCTCACTTAATGTATTTCTAATATTACATTGAAAAAAGATTTGGAAAAAAAGAATAAAAATAAAAAAAGAATAAAAACAAAGTAATTAATGTGCCCCTTTTTAATCAATTAATCATGGAAGTAATTTACAGAATAATTACTAAAATAATCATTAGTTGGCATTTATTATATTGTTCATCATGTGATAAGATTCTTACGAGATGACTCCTATTTTATTGTTATTACATGTTAAAAAAAATTATATTTCCATACTGCCATGATAATTTTTACTATTTTCTCCACAGGTTGTAACAATAACATCACCAAATTTGAAAATATGGTCAAGTGAATTTACTGTGTGCCTTTTAGTGATGAAAATCACTGCTTTATGCGTCTGGTGTCTTAAGGAAGTGCATTGCAAATACGTATGTTTTTTTCAAACACGGTATTTCTATTATTGCTGTGTCATGCAGTCACAGCCAGTCAGCTAGAGACATGATAAATAGTTCTTATTGCCACTGATATTTTCACAAAATATAGCGATAAACTCTAAGTCCATATAACTTACCTCTGGTTGCAGCCCTAATCAAGACGTGGAGGTCAGCTTGATGGTTTCACAGACTTTTATTTGCCGTTTTGTGTTTCAGAGACAGAGAAATGGAGAAGACCTTTGAGGTTGTGAAACACAAAAACCGCGGCAGAGAAGAGACCGGCAGCGCCTCCGTGGAGCACTTGCAGCTCGACAACCAGTACGCCATCCTGGGGGACAAGTAGAGCTGCATTCCCGACCCCCTGCCCCCTTCCTCCCCCAGCACAGTCCCCCCTCGAAGGAAGCTGAACTCCAGCTGTGCTGGCTGCAGTCCTAAAAAAAAAAAAAATCTCCTTTTGCCACCACCCTTTACACCACTCACTCACTCACACGGTCATACACAACACCCCCTGCAGACACACTCCCTTTAAACAATTCACTCAACACGGTTTGGTTGGCAAAACTATAGGATTGCATCAGAAGGGGCTGACAAAAAAGGGGAATAAGGAAACCCGAACGTGCAACGCTGCAGCAACAACAAACAGAGAAGTAGTTGCCCTTTGTGGATTGTTTTCAGAGCAGCAGTTGTGTGGCAGAATTTCTCTCTGGACTTCATCTTGCTTTGACAAAGCCACAGAGGATCAAAGAGGACTTTAGGCACGATGATCTTACAAACTTCTGTGAAAATACCTATTTTTTTGCGAGATCTTTACAACCCAATCACACGTGGTTATATTGAGGTGTGTTTATGTGTTGCGTTTGGGGCTTCACGAGGCGGGGGGTGTGGGATGCTACCGCAGCGGCACAGCTGGTGGCAACGACATGGACTGAGCTTTTTCTGTGTTGCTGTGGTGGTTAAAAAGAGGCGGAGCTAACACCGAGCTCCTCCCACTTTCCTTCCACATACAAGCCAGCCTTCAGGCTCTTTGAATTAGAAACTTTAAGCATTTTTTTCTTTTTCCAGTTCATTCGTTGACGATGACACTGCAAAGATCAACAACACAAAGCGATAAGTTGCATTTCTCATCTAGAGTTTCTATATAAAGTGGCCTTATTGATGGAGAGCGACTGTCATCTGAAGGGTTGTCTGATAGGCCGGTTTCTGCCTCTGGATCGAACCACTTTCATCAAACTAAGAGGGGGGGAATCAAAGCAGGAATGTAGTGCTGTTGTAGTTTGCCTGATGATGAAGATGATGATAACAACTACTAACTCTTTCATATCCAATGTTTGAACTTACTGCTCCTTATTTTTATTTTTCTTCCAACATCTGAGAAAGAATAATTAAAGCTTGTTTCTAATCCTGCATCGTTCGGTTTTGGTAACAAACGCTTCGCTTTGGTTTGACACCAGGAAGTCACAGCCTTAATATTGGGTTTTAATTGAGGCTTTTCATTGGTCATCTGGGGTTTAGTCCTTTTGGAAATCATGGCATTTGTGAATAATTTGACATCTGGAAGCATTCAGTTATTACCATTTGTGTCTCCCCCCCTAAAGTCAGTAATCTTCTGTCACAAAACAGCAGCAACACCAGTTAAAATGCACAATTATTCTTTGGAGGATTAATATTTTGGATATATGCCCCTTGTATGTTCTTCCCCCATGAAACGAAGACCTTTGGATGAAACCAGATCATATCCATGATGAGAAGAAGATGATTATTTTATTTTTCTTTGATCTGTTTACAGAAAAGTAATTGTTAATCTATGAACCCATAGGCTTGTATGAACCCTTCTGTTCCTCTCACAAAAACATCATTAACTCCCATGTGGTCTCATTTTATCAGAGCAGGTGTTCCTGTCTTTCCCTCTTGTGTTTGAGCAGATGATTCATGAATAAAAGTTCCAGCTCTTTGGAGAAATAAGAAAAAGTATTACATAATCTTATACCAAGCATAATAACAAATTAAAAAATAAAGTTTTCTCTAAAAGCTGACTTATAATTTGTTTAAATACATTTTTTCAGCCATTTGACATGCCTCTGCTTGGTTTCCTTTATCTGCTTTTGCTGGTGTTACTTTTATTTTTCGCTAATTCTTGCAGTGAGATCCTGGATTACACAATAAAAACACCAACATTATGACTAGGGAAGAAACAATTGTGATATTTAAATTGCTGACTTATTTTGTAATTGGTTAATATAAACTAGTTTAGAGAGCAGTAATAAAGGCAAAAGTGAAGATATATATAAATTATAGATAATTCAACAAAATTATCTGATTTTTTTGTTTTCACATAATGAAAAAAAATATCTAAATATGTTCTAACTATAACTCAAGTTTATTTGTATCACACATTTCAGCAACAAGACAGTTCAAAGTGCTTTATGTTGTGAAAACAAGTGGAGTAGTTTTAAGTTAACCTTGTTTCATTTCTATAAAACAAAAAATAAATCTATTAAGCTTGTGATAATCCAAAAAATAATTGAGACATTATCTCTACATTTTATTAAGTGAAGCACTGAGAGCTAAACGTTTTAATGTTAAAAGTTTGTTTAGCTGCAGATCCATCCTTTGCTGCACTAAAGGAATGCAATGTTAACGCACTTTAGGCAATGAAATGTTTATTTTCTTATCTTGAAAAGTAATTAGTTTATTTACATATGTAATGTACTTCTAATGTGTAAAAAAGGCTCAAATGAAAAATCTACAGAATGTGCAATTTTTTCATCTGATTGATTAATTATTTGTTACAATTGATTAATCGTCTTGAATGCTCACCCTAATTTGGAAATAGAAATTTGTGTTGCTGCCTTACATGAGAGTGGTCTTTTTGTTTTGCTTGATTGGTGGTGTGTGCAATCTGTTTTCACGTCACCCTTCACAGGAACTAGTTCTCAGTTCAGTTCAACGAATCAGTTCATGTTCACTTATGCATTCTGAACTGAACTGAACTGGGAGTTCCAACATCAACCAGTTCCTCTTTATCAGATCTTGTATGAAATAAAATGTAAAACTATATTCAGTTGTGCCCACAAGTTTTACACACTCGGATGGGATTTCTTGATTTTATAGCCGTTTTTCAGACAACATAAATGATAACACAAAAACTTTCTTTCTTGTCCCGGTTAGTGGTTGGAAGAAACCATTTATTCAAATCATAAAGACCCTGATTTGAGCATCCAGGTTCAGCAAACTGCGTCATTGAAGGTGAGTTAACCTCATGAATGTGTTATTTTACTTTCTAAAAAAAAAATAGTAATTTGATGTTATTTTGTGCCAACGTTGACAAAAGTATCTAGACAATATGTCTGCCATGTTGTTCCAGGCGCTGCATATTGTAAAAGTTTAAAAACAAACTTAATGTCATGATGTTCCCTGCATCGGCACCAAGTTGTAAAATAGCAGTAGTTTAGTTCCAGTCCTACTAGGACACAAATCATTTTATGAATAAGAAAACATAACTAGAGAATTTCAGAAGAAATTTAAGCCCATCGGTTGGAACCAAGCATTTGGAAGTCGTACCAGAGGGACTTGCTCCCAGTTTCCCAATGGGAATCTACCTTCAGGGGACGTTTCAGTTGATTAATTTCTAGGAACTCAGTGATTATGAAAGAATTTTGAGTCTTTTTTCCCTGCATAAATGATCGTCTTCTGCCATAAGATATGGAAATTGGCAGGAGACTGATGGTATGTTTTCTAACTGTGAAGAAACTTCTGTTCTTCTTATGTCATTTTGTTGTTTTTATTTAATAATTTCTAAAATAAATAGATCAAATAAAGACTCTATTGTCACAAAGGTTGATCAAATCTAACTTACTTTAATCGCTCTTGCGCATATACAAGTAGGCCACAAGGTGGTGCTGTTGTTCACCGAGGAAAAAAAGTTTCTCTAAGCGCGGGAATAAAAAGCAGCTTTCATTTAAACAATTTAAGATAGTTTCTGTAATAAATGTTCATTACTTTATTATCTGGAAGTGGGATTAATTTATGTCAAAATACGTTGCATGTGTCTGTTATAATTTTGTGAATGTTTTGTTAGAGCTTGCTTTATTTTGCAGTTTCTTGTCAGTTTAGAGTGATCCATGTTTTAGTGTCCTGTTCAGCTAATGCCAGATATTGTTTCTGGTTCATCATATTTCTACTCGTTCTGTTTCCTGGTACTAATCTGCACCAAAATGCAATAAATAACTGCGTTAAACAAGTAAACAATTTCATACATGAGTGATCACATAACGTTCTTTTGACAATATCAAGACTTTTGGCTTCTTTTACTTTTCAGAAATAGTCATATTTGCTGCCTAGCAAAAAATAATTATCCCCACCTTGGATTGATTTTTTTAGGCAACACCTGATGCATTTAAATTCGAAAGCCAAGTTTAAACAGCTTGGATTTGGAAAGCATGTATAAAAATGGGAATATTATCAAGACAAATATGTGATTGTAACTTAGCAGGAACTGAATAAAAAAAATTGGTTAATTTTGTTTTCAGTGCCATCTGCTTGAATCTTTCAGGTGTTTTTCTTTTTTTTTTATCTTCCTACCCCAAAGCAATGCAAACATTTTCATCCCTCATGACTCACTGTGATCCCACAGTTCAGTGCTTTCTGCTAAAACTGTGTTTTTGTACTTTGCATTAAAAGAAGAGTAAACTGATTTCAACACTGTTTGTTCTTCAAAGAGTCCAGGATAAAAAAGCACCGGCTCAGATTGGGGATAAAGGTTCATAAAAAAGCCTCCAAAAATTTATTTTTCTTTTTGAAAAGAAAACGAAAAAAAATAAATATATATATATATATATATATATATATATTTATATATATATATATATATATATATATATATATATATATATATATATATATATATATAATTTTTATTCCTACTCACAGCATTTTGTTAACAACTTACTATATGTAAATAAATGTCACTCATTACATTTAAATGTTTTATTTAAATTCATGGCTTGAATTTAGGAGCGTGTATTCTTCTCCATGGTTTTCTTTTTCTAGTGTTTTTCTGCAGAGATGAGATTAAAAATCAGATTAAAATACTTTACTCTGTATGTTAATACTGAATTGTGGGCAAACATTACCTGGTCCAAGTCTCACTTTGTTGAGAATGGAAAACATTCAGTCAGACGGATCAATTTTTTGTCGGTTCTGGAATGTTAAATACAAAAACCCCACATCAATTTCTCCATAGATTATGCTTCATAGTTTTTTAATGACAGAAAAAATTACTTTATCTTCAGAATGGCACTTTCATTCATAAAAAGACCAATAGTAAATAGAGATTAATAATTTAATATTTACTGAGATACAAAAGAGATAATAAAGAAAAAATGCAGTCTTTTTGATAATAAATTATATGGCTGCAATAAATAAATAACCAAGGTATGATAATTGTGAATGGCGAAGTGTCACTCAGCCATTTTAACAACCTCATAAAAGATGACAAATCAATTTATAAAAGTTAAACCTACCCCAAACATTTAACTCTTGCTACAGCATAAGCCTGGGTGTATTTAGTTCAATAATTAATTAAATAGCTTAATTAAATTAATTAAATAGCTGAAATAGAACATTTAAATTTATAAAATAAAGCTATAAAATTTAAAGTTTGTGTTCATTAGAAACTATTTTGAATCTTTTTCTCAAAAATCTTACTGGACATCATTATTTTTATAGTGTATAAACAGATTCTGACTGGTTAGCTGGTAAATATAGCCAAGTAGTTGGTAGAGCTCAGTAAAGCTTTAAAATAGACTTTACATCATCTTATTTATTTGCATTTTAGATTCAGCAGATTAAGGTTAAGACTTTCTTTTTTCGTCTCAAAATACTTCTTACCTGGTTTTCATCAGGTAAGAAGGGGGAAATCTAATCTTACCTTGAATTGGAATCCGTATCCCTTCCAACTAAGAAAAAACACAAGAAAAAGACGTTATATTCCCCCAAAACATGCAGAATATTGACTTAATGTTAATATTGGAGCACAGTCTACATGCACTTACTTTGACTTCTGCATCTGTTGTCTCCTAAAATAGAAGATAACATTTCTAATTTGGCCTCATCAATTGTAAACATTATGTTTTAATAATTTGGTGAAATCCAAGTTTACCTACATTTTTTGTTGTGTTGTTGGTTTCTACTAGGTTCTAAAACAGACAAAGAGGAAAAAACAGAAGAAAAACTATATATTTAAAATATGTAGACACGTCGCTTTACTAGAATATTGTTTTAACAAATAGACTTTACATTTTGATCAAAGTAAAGTAATCAAAACAATCAGTCCGTCTGGGATGTTGCAGTGTTTTCTGCTGATTGTTGCAGCCTAAAATGTCAGTATGAGGCAACTTTTTCAAAAAGTTGCAGTCAAAGTTTCCCTTTTTAAGCTTTATTTTATTTTATTAAAAGCCCCACAAGATGATGCTGGAATCCACTTTTACCCAAATCGTATAATTAAAACAGAGTTACCCCTAATGCTGACCAAATATATGGAAACTTTTGAATTTAAAGAAAGTACAAAAAACATCTCTAAAGATGTTCTGATTTCCAGCCGACCTAAAACAAGAGAAATTTGGTCTGATTTAACTTCAGACAAATAGAAAAGTATGTGCATGTTTTTTTTTTTTTGTTTTTTTTTATCATTATTTGTTGTGTAAATATCTCATTTCAGCTGTAGAGTTCTTCCCAAAAAAAAAAACAGTCAATACTGGAACTGAATCAAAAGATTTTTTTTGTCAACATTTGTATGTGCTGCCTTATGCAACCAGATAATTGCAGCTTTTTTTATTTTTCCTTTTGTATTTTCCCTTAAATTGCACATACTAGATTTAAAACAATTTTCCAAATGATTTTAATAGTTTTTTGCTCTCATTTTGTACATAACAAAAAAAGTTGTTTTTTTTAGAATGAATTAAAGAAATTTTGACCATAATGTGAAATATGTGTTACTTTCTTGGAGGTTAGATTTCAACAATTGTTACTTACAAATCAAAAGTTTTGAAAGCAATTCAATTCATTTTGACTCAAATGCTCATTTTTGGGAAAAAAATAACATTCATTTTGACAAAAGAGAGCAGAGGCCACAAAAAGAAAGAAATTAAATCCTAACTGCTGTTACAGTTTTGGCTTAACAACCTACATTTGCCACAATAATGACAATAAAAAAGATTAAAGATTTAACAGTAAAATTAATTTCTGGTGTTCTACCCACAGTAAAGTTGCTGGTGTTGTTCACTCCTTCCAGCGGCACACAAGAACCTGGAAGTCCCTGAAAAGGTATTTAAATACAAATTAGTGTGTTTTACTAAACAAGTTTGATTCTCTTTATTTTTTATTTTTTAATTGATGAACTCTCAAGCAGCATAATCATTGATAATTGATTTGATTTGAAATAGAGCTCAGCTTAATTTAAGAATAAGAAACAAAAATTAAACGTTAAGAAATAAAATTGAGTTAAAAAGAAAGAAAACTTTGTGAAGCTGTAATTTTCCTACAGGGAAATTATGTAGGAAATTAAACAAGAGCAAATCAGAACTATAATTTAGTTAAACAATAAGAGGTGTGTGTGTGTGTGTGTTTACTTACAAATGGGCATGGACTTGCAGTGACGTATGCAAAGAGACAAAGGAAAAGTAAAAATCCTCTCATGTTGAAAACTTTCTGTCTTCCTGCACATCTGCTGTTTAGTATCAGTGCAGGGAGGTTAAATTAGATTTACCTTTTTACTTCCTACCAAAGTCCAAGTCAGGTTTTTTTATTGATTTTTTTTTTTTTTTTGCTCCTGAAAGTCAAACATGTTCTCTCTGAATAAGCAGACTCCATGTGTTTGACGATCAAACTAAAAGTTTTTAACTCAGAGCTCTCGTTTGGAAGACGTTACGTACAAAAAATCACTTTAGATCAATGTCTCAGTATTTTCATAATAGTTTTTAGCTGATGTGTAGTTTTTATAATTTCTTCTTTTTTTTCCCAATTTTCATAAAATAAATTGACTTTTGTTGAAATTTAAATTAATTAATTCACTTGTTATGTATTTTAAATTAAGCTTAATTTCAAATTAACTAGTTATTGTGCCTTTTTCTGAGAGTTATGATGATCTTTACTGGGTTTCCTGCTCAGTTTAAATTAATTTTGAGGTCTGGTGTTTGACACATCAATATTCTTGCAGACAAAGCAAAGCCAAATGTGAATAATCAATTTTAAACTTACTTGAACCAACATTATCAATAACAGCTGAACTTTGTCTCCCATGCATGAACACTCAGGTCACTCATCCCTCACCTTGAGGAAAAACCTGCTGCTCTTTCTGCTTGCAGTATCCAAGGTTTGTCTTTACTCAACATTAAATGTTCACCTCTGAATAGAAAAAGCTCACTTTAAGTTCCTCACACACCAATTTGTTCCTCTCTGTAATAATTTTACAAACAAATGGATTGAAACAGAACAAATATCAAAGATAGATTTCACCCTCTATCACAAACAGTTGATGCAGATTATGATTTTTTTTTCTTTTCTTTTGATTTTAATTAGGTCAACTTCAATGATTTAAGCTGTAACGTGTAACGTGGTACAGATATTCATCTTTTAATAATAGGTTTTTAATTTCATAGTAACTAGAATCACATCTATTCGGCTAATTTTACTCAAAACCAGACGTCAGTGCTCCGGGATGTGCTTGTTAAATAATTTTATGAAACTTTTCCGAATGTAAAAGTATTTGAAAGAGGATTTATCCAAATCCTGCTTCACTATTTTCTTCTTTTTCTCCTTTTTATTTTCTCACCTGGAATCTTTTCTTTCAACAAGTGCAGGTAAAATACATATATTTTTTTGTTTACTTCCGTTTAAATAACATTATTTTGACGTGCATGTAAATCTAACTTGAAGATTTTGGCCCACATGACAAAGTTTGCTCTATACCAAGCAAATAAACAGCATGAAAAGCCTGTTTATTGCTCTTTTGCAATTTAAATATTGTACACAGTAATAAAAAAAAATGATGATATCTTGTGTAGCTCAGATTCATCTCTTTCTATGTAATGCCAAAGTTTGAAACTGGTAGCTGTACGGTCACATATGTCATCTGTGGTGAAATATTTTCATCTGAATTTAATATTTGAAGAGCAAATTGATTTTTTTATTCAAATATTAATCAGTTTACAAATGTCTAAATAAAATTAAAAGTCAATTTCTCTGTATCAATATAAATAATACTTTTAGCAAAATTAGCCTTAGATTTGAACCATTTTATAAATTATACTCACACCCATGCCAGACACAGAAACAAATAAAACTTATTTCACAATAAATGTTTATATTTTATTCAGAGATGACTGCAGCCTCTGAAGGAAGATTCATGGTCTTGTTCATGTTTCTGGGTATATTTCTGTAAGACCTCAGCTTTGCATCTTCCACTGGTTCTGCTATTTCTGGAAAAAAGAAAAAAGATATTTTCTTTGTTCATTTCCACTTGTGCAGATTTTACAGATCAGTTATTTTCTATTATGTAACACAAACGACAGCTGGGAAACTTTCATACCTGCTCCTCTTCTTTTGTTGTTGGGAAACTACCACTGTTTTTTAGAGGGTGCCAGATGCTGAAAGCCTGTAAGTCACAGTAGAGTTCAGTTAAAACATAAACCATGAATACGTCTCTAAATAACAATAGATCATCAAACGTTGCTTTATGCTGCTGATGTTTGTATTTACCTTTGTGGGTTTAGGTTTTGGCGGGGCTGCACTGGGAGCCTGAAAGTGCAGCAATAATTATTTAAATTAAAAAATATTATCTCTTAAGTCCAGTTCTAACTAAGGGTGTCATCATCTTGGTATTTGAAAATTTCAACTTTAGATTTTATAGTTTTTGCTATTTGGCGCCTACATGATCAGTAGATAATAATTATAACCTTTTGTTCATTTTGGGAAAATCAAAGACGGTTTTCAGTAAAAATCCTGTTACAATTATGATCACAGGTAAATAGAAACACTGGAGGCCCAAAGTGTGGCGCAGGGGCCATTTGCAGTCCTCTGGGATAATTTTGTGAGGCCCATTTCAAGACCAGTGAAAATTTAGCCTTGTGGTGACATTTTTTTATTTTTTACTTTTTAAATGTTATACACAATATAATTACCCTTTTATTCAATTTTGAGGAAATATGTTTGTTTTGGGGGGTTTTCTGGGAATAGATTGAAAACATTTTCAGGAACAACAAAGCAAAAAATATTTGAACCAAAAGTTGAGGCAATTGCACACCTAGACAAACGTCAGGGACTCTTGGTGTTCACTTATTAAAAATATTGTATGTTTGATTTATTGCTGAGTTAAAAATAACTAGTTAATTTAGTATTTTTTAAGCTGGGGTGTTTGGGGTCTACTTTAAACTTGGTCATTTTCACCAGCAGTGCAAAAAGTTTGAATATTGTTGTTTGTTTATATTAAAAACTGTGAAAATTAATTTTATATCATTTACAAAAGTAATTATCACTTTTGTAACAATTTGATAAATGGAAAATAATCAATTTAGTTTTCAACTGAAGAAATCCCAAATGTTCTCCCAAAGAATCCGTCCTGAAAAACATTGAAACAGTAACGATATTTTCTGTAAATACTTACAGTTGTTGAGTTGGTTGTGGAGTTGGACCCATTCAGTGGTGCTGTGGCTGTTGCGTTAAGCTGTAAATTTAATTAAAAATAATCATTGGAAATCATTTTTCTGTAGTTTGCAAACATATTAAATTATTCTAATTGTTAAAATGTAGAAAATGGAAGTAAATTAGAACTAGATTTTAAATGACATTTATCCCTCAGAATATGCGGTAAAACACAGAATACCTGAAGCTGTACTTTTCATAGTGTTCAGTTTTAAATTTACTAAATTGCACGAATGAATTCATTTTTCTATAAATATTTGTCCAAAAATATTTTGATGTCCTGTTAATTATACTAGAATTAAAAATGTCCATTAATCGTAACAGTAACAGTTTCTTACCTTGATGTCATCATTTTTTACTTCAGTATTAAGATCCGTGCTTAGAGGGTTCCAGTTGCTCTAAAGTGGATTTGCCAAGAGTGTTGAAGATTGTTAGATACAGATTTGAACAACTTCATGATTCTATTTCAGTTTCTATGTTAAATATGGCAAATAGTTTATTTACGTACCCTTCGTTGACGTGTGGTTTCAGGGGAGACGGCGCTGCAACCCTGGACATGAAAAGACAATAAACGTCCTTGGAAAAATATTTTATTGATAGAATTTATTGTTTTTGTAAGTGATCTGTTTTTGAAGACATCCTCTCAAAAAGAAAGAAAAAGAGACTAAATCTCTTTTTTCTGGTTAAATAAAGGATATTATTATTAATATTATCCCATGATACTACATGGCTGTAGTGTCAGTCCTTCCCAGCAGCTTATAACAACTCGGGAATTTAAATTGAAGTGAGTCTGAGGATAGATAGTTTACAAACTCTTCACATTACATTCTGACCCCTTCCAACATTTTCAAAAATGTTTTTCTTTACCTTGCATTTTAATGTCAAGGCTTCAGCAGCCACAGCCCATCCAAGGAGACACAGAAATATCACGGCTCTCATTGTGAAACGTGTCTGTCTTCTTCTTCTACATCTGCTGTGTTGGATCAGTGCAGGGAGGTTTAGTTCAGTCTGCTTCTTCCTTAATTCAAAGTCCAACTCTGTTATTTGTTTGTAGCTTTCTGTTGACTTTGCTGAAACTTAAACATGTCGAATCTATAATCAGGTCAACTAATAATTAGTGAATTTGATCCCAACTGGAGTAAAGACTGCTAGAACAGTAGATTAGATAGGAAAATGTATTATTTCACTAATTGAACAGTTAATTGAATCTTTATGAGCTTAACTTTTTGAGTTAAAATTGACTAAGATCGGTTTACCTTGCTGTCCAGCTCTGACGTGTCATTGGTTGAGCAGCTGCATATGTAACAACCTTCTCCTATAAAACAACAAGCAGATTAGACCACAACTTTATTAATTTTAATTGCTGGAGCAGAAGCTGAAACATTTAATGAGTTGTTTTGTCCAAGGTATGTAACTCTGAACTAAACAAACTGAATAAATGTGATTTCTCTCATGTTAATAACTATTGTCCTGATTGGTGTTGAGAGGTTAAATTATAAAGTTTCTGCTTCAATTTTTGTTTACCATCAAAGACCAACTAACTGATTTTTGCCTTTTTATTTTATTTTTGTTGGTTTATTCTTAAGTCAGACAATCATAAAGTTTTCTTTTTTTCAGTAATTCAATAAAAAGACTAAAGACCAATACAAATATTGATTTTTAACACAGAAATGTCGTTCTACTGAGAAGTTTGTCCATATACTGCAGAATAGTTGCAGTCAGTGCTTGGTTTTGATTCGGTTCCAAAAAAAAAAAAAAAAAACATGAGTGAAAAATATAATCAACACCTGAAATTGCATTAACAACTAAAATTTTAAACCTGTTCATAATAAAAGACAACCGTACCGCAAAATGTTGTAATTGTTCAAATTCACCACCAGATGTCCCTGGTGACACACAATAAACACTTTCTCTCTCTCTCAATTTTGCACAGTTCAGTTTCTGAATTAACCTTGAGATTAACCAATTAGAGGAGCACCAGCTGATGTTTTCCAGATTAATTCTGGATTTTTTGCAATTCTGAGTTCTTGTTAACAAGATAACAACATAGCGAAT